TACACGGCGCCCACCAGCGCGACGACCTACTTATCATCGACGATAGAATCGCCAGACACCGCCAGTGTTGGCAGTTTAGTCTTTTCTGATCTCACTGCCAAATGTCAGATGTCCTTCTACAGTAGGTGCCGGTTTGTCCCCAGCCATAAGCTCGCTAATGTCGCCTGGGCTCTGCACTACCATCGTGGGAGTGGTGTTAGCTCCAATTGGCCCAAGGAACCTTTCATCAAGAGAAACGAAGTCAAGAATGAAACGAACTGATGTTGCCTCTACTTACCTCGTGAATGCGAAAATCAAAGAGTAACTCAGCTTAAAATCAAAATGCACTCATCTAGTTACCACGTTTCGATTCAATGTCTTGATCCAGATCCCAGTCCGCTATCCGTTTCCCCTGCTCAATTATTGAACAGTTCTCAGTAAGGACATAGGTCAACCGAACTGTACACCGGCCGTGTCCATATTTGGCCTGGACACTTCACTTTCGCACCTTCGTCCCCAGCCAAAACGTTTTCGCAGCCGCCCACTGTATTTGTTCAGATTGCCCTGACCTCATGGTCAGCAACTGGTGACCTTTAAACCATAGCGGTAAAAGGTCCCGGTGGAATGATCAACGACGGGGATGCAAATATTTTGGTTTTAGAACCATTCGGCAAGTATTCTCGACAAAGTATTAGGGTGATGGTCCACAAGTCGTTGGACCATTCGTATTTTGTCAGAGCCTGGTAAGACTATCTTCGACCAAGTTGAACTTACCGGTCCATGATATAATCTCCATGCATACCCACTACCTTTCGCCAACGATCGGGTAGAGAGGCAACTCCATCCTCCCAAAAGCTGGCCGGCCGCGACTCGGCCCAGTCCTCGATCACGTCCTCGAGGTCGCGCTCGTTCTTCAGCTGTTTTCCGTCCAAGAAATTTTGCATGGACCGGAAGATGTGGTAATCGCATGGACTAATGTCCGGGCTATACGGTGGATGCGTGATCGTCTCGATGCCCAGCCTGTCCAGGACGGCCTGAGTATCTCTCGCTTTGTGGGGGCGCGCGTTGTCTCAGAGCAACCACGGATTTGCAAGTTTCTGGGACAAGGCGGCAGCTTTCACCTTGACCTCCTGCAATTCTTTAGAGAGGGTCTCTGCCGTCACTGTGGCATTGTTGGGTAGGATGCTGTAGTGGACGACGCCGTGGCGAGAGAACCAGAAACCTCGGCATATCTTCGATGCCATAGTTTTCATTGGTGAGGCGAGTCCACCATTTTGACATCCAGTTCTTAGAAGGGGTGTTATTACCAAACTGCTGACGCATCTGCCCTGACGTCTGGAAGATGCCAGGTTGTATAGTCCAGCAAACATCGGCGGTGGTGGTGACTATCACTCATCTTCACTGCTTTATTGTGGGAAGAGCAGGAAAGGAAATTTAGAGCTAGCTAGCTCAGAAGATAGCCCATCGCGAGTACTTTCAGTATTGCGAATCTTTATGCAAAATCACAACGCGTTGCGTAACGCGACACGTTTACAGATGGCCAGCGAACTGTTTGGACACCGTAGTAAGAATCCATAGGGAAGCGCATGCAAAATGTAGGACTTTTCGATGTTCCCTTTTGTCAGATGTAAACGAGAAGATAAGGATTAGCGCGGTCCTTGAGGTCTGTTAATCCGCATCATGTTGCTCTGGTCAACACTGCCGCTATGTAAACCGAACTCGCACGTCATCGCCCTGAGTCGGCAGACGCATTTTGAAGAACACTCTCAATAGCTTCGAGGAACCAGTTGAAGTGATAGCACGGATTTGTTCAGCCAGAGTGACCCACTCAGGTCATTTTTGGTCCTTAGCCAGGCTTTCCACTAAACCCTAAGCCAATTTTCAGGAGTCGTTTCTCAGTTGCTGGACCCGATTTTCACTAGCGATCTAGCTAAGCTCGTGTGCCAGGATAAAAAGGAGGAAAACTCTCCAAAAAGTATGAATAACAAAAGCGCGCGGCATCTAGAGCTTCTGCAAATGAATATGGTATCAGAAAGTCTGCGGAAACCTGCACTTGGAGGGTTGAAAAGTCGAAAAATTGCCATCAAGGGTACTGAGGAAATCCGGTATCGATGCAAGTGCTGCATTGAGGATAGCGCGGGCGCGTTCGGGAGACGACATTCTGGAAAGTGCAGGACCGTCCCCGCACACAATAGTCTTTGAAGGCAATCTTTAAGCCAGGTCTAATAATATTTTCTTCTGGCATTACTCTCCCAGGCAAATTGTGTTCAAGTATATCCATTGCTGCAGTTCAACGAGAAATCCACTCAAATAGGATGACAACAAAATTGAGAACGCATTGAGCTAAAAGTAAAGAATGGGGAGCTAGAGGGAAGCAAGACGAGATGGTTTTTATGTCGTTCGCTAAATTTTCCCCATGTGAATAAAATAGGCTGGTCCCAGCCGCAGAGATTTCACTGAGTTTCTTTTTTATTTGAGAAGTAGAGTGCCTAGAGTGCTAAGGGTTAATGTCAACAGCACGAGAAGCACTATCTTAAGGAAATGCTGCTGGCAGACGTTTTTGCACCATCATGACTCTTGCAAACGATACGACATGTGACGGTCGTGGATTAAAGCCCTGTCAAGGCGGTATTTTCTACCGATGATACCAACCTGAATCCGCAGCAGTTGCGAGAAAGACTGTTCTGGTCCAACTAAAGGCCCTTTACACACCCTGTCAGTTGCAGGAATTATGCCTATATCTGTCGTCTCAAACTTTACTCCCATCTCAAACCTCTGCAGTCCTGTTACTCGTCCGTGCTCTCACGATCTACGGTTTCACACGCGAGCGAAACGACGATGGTCCGGGGATGAAGAATCTGCTCTGAGCTCATTACGTACGTTCTCCTCCCGAGCACTGAGCACTGGGGAGGGGAAAAGATGACGGAGCGCAGGCGACTTGAGTCGCGCGCGGTGCAGCCCCGCAGAGCAGACAAGCCGCAACGCCGCGTTGCCCCGCTGAACGACGTTAGCACCCCGAGCTCCACTGCCCACATCATGTCAAAGGGCATAATGCACAATAATTTTTTACTCGGTCTGAAACGGTAGCAGGGGTGCTATATAGTGGCAAAATGGCGAAAAAGCGAGGTAAACGGTCAAAAAGCTGCAGAAAGCCTTAGTTCTACACGTTTCAAAAAGCGTTTTCGGACGAGTTGCCCGGCGTCGTGCCTATAATTGCTACGGTAGATATGGCTGCATGTACACTCTAGTTCGCTGCGGACGGTTGGGCGTGTCAGCCAGTATGAGTGTGCACAGCGTCAAGGCCGTTCTCTGCCTTCTTGTTGAAGCGCGCATGCGACAAAAAGTGGTAGAAAACGAGTAATACGAACGATATGATACAGTATTGTCACTTGCCCGCTTCAACAACTGGTGGAGAACGAGTTTGGCACCGCGCCAAACGCAGCCGCACTGACACGCCCAACCGTCCGCAGCGAACTACACTATGTCTCATCTATCCATGCAACACCGCAGCCGCTTCACATCAATCCCTTCGCTCCATATTGCACTTCTCAAACGAAGCGATGCGAGCATCAGCATCGCTCGGACATTTGTGGGCGGGCGTTGTGGGGCTTCGGGTGCTACTTTAGCAAGTCTTTATAGTGTCTATCTTTGAAGATGCCCTCTCCGCAGCATCTGATCAGGCGCGCTGAACTTTATTCTGCTAAGCGTGTTAGTCCTTCTCTCTTGGGGATTTATCTTACCACATGCGCTTATGAATGTATGTGTAGAATATTTGGTTGGTTCTATGACAAATTCATAAATTCCTATTCATAATTCGCTTATTCATAATTAGAGAGCATAGAAAGTACATACCGGTACAGGAAAACTGCCAGGTGTAAGGACAATGTTACGTGTACATTAAAGTGCATAGAGTGCATTTTCAGTACAGAACAAGCAGCATAATCTGATTCTCTGCGAATTGGTTACATTACAAATACGTCTTTACTAACACTTATTAAGACCTGAGTAGGGTGCTGCTCCAATAATCTCTCTCGGATCAAAATAACAGGAAAGCCTCGAGTTCTTAACACATCTTCAGTGAAATATTGAAGGTTGGCTCGACCTGAGACGGAATGCGCGTTCTTTTCCGCACAATGTTGCATTTCGGTGTGGCCAAGTTGATAGAAAGAGGGTCGCTCCACTTAGCGAATGACGTGAAAACAAACAAGCAATACTTTGAGACTTCAGCCTTGTTCACTCATAATCAAGAAGTGAGTAGTAACTTTAATAGAAACGAAACATCGGTTAAATTTACAACATCAAAAATATGAACTAGTAATAGGTAAGGAGTGAATTAACTTACGTTCGCCTTCGGATAAGGTGCTTTCGCTACGCTAGTAACATTACTATAAGGCGTCTTCAGAGATATAGCGAGCATCACCAATAAACGATATCCCCAGAATAATTCTAAGGGCTAAAGCCCTGCAGGGCCGTCGCCATGATAGTGAAGAGCGGGGTTCCGAGCCGAAGAGAAAATGCGAGAAGCGAGGTTCCGAGCCGAAGAGAGAAAGCAAGAATGAAGGCAGCCCATGGAACATGGGCAGGGTAGTTGTTTTGCCGCGCGATCACTGTTGATTATAGTGGGTCATTTGCGACGGCGATCACTGCAGGCGATGGCGCACCCGGGGCTGAGCTAGGAGCGATCCTCGAGATGCGACAGCCCTCAAAGTTTGTGTGAAAAGATGAAAATTTTTGGTGATTTTTGTGACAGGCTTAAAGTTGGTTTGAAGCAGTGAGTAGATGGGGTTTAGACCTTGTAAATGTGCATAGCATAGGACACCTCTTGAAGAACGAGAATCCATCCACCGAGATTTGAACCTCCCGATCATGGTGAAGGTGATACTTCATGAAGAAATGGAAAACGTTCTATGACATCTATGAACGCCCATTTATTGGCTTGAATTGACCCATTCAAAGAGCTCTCACTTGGACCTAATAGGTCAGCAGGTGCGATGCTTGTCTCTGAAGTCGGTTGACTGAAGTCCACCTTTGTAAATGAATGTTGAAATCCGTTTCTGTTGTGAGTCTTCTTGAGAAGATATCATTTCTTAGCCCTATACTCTCAAATCTACCTCTTCATTCACAGCTTTTCAGATCTAAATCTCAATTTCGTTCAGTTGAAACTCTACGTTGAGCACTTAAAATCCACTGGGAACGGAATCTTA